CCTGTAATCATCATTTTTATTCCTATAGTGACAGTTGTAATATTTCTCTCTTTGTCTCTGATTTTGAATCACTTCTCTTTTGTTCTTTTCTGCCTGTATGAGTCTGTCAGTTTTGTCTATCTTTTTGTAAATCAACTCTTCATTTTGTCAATATTTTATATTGTTTTTAAGGTTCTATTTCTGCTTTTAAGGCTTTATTTCTGCTCTGGTGTTTATTCTTCCCTTCTACTAACTTGGGGTTTAGTTTGCTCTTAATTTTATAGTTTTTTTTTAGATACAAAAGTATTTCAAATAAATTGTTTATTTGAGATTTGTTATTCTGATGCAGGTATTAATTAACATAAGTTTCCCTCTTAGTATTGCTTTTGTTGTGTCCCACTGGTTTTGGTTTATTGTATTTCTATTTTCAAGAAATTTTAAATTTTCCTTCTTAATTTCTTCCTTGACATAGTGCTTATTCCAGAGTATGTTCTTATATTTCCATGTATTTGTATAATTTCCAAAGTTTTTCTGGTTATTGATTTCTAGTTTTATTGCATTGTGGTCAGAAAAAGTACTCAAGGTGATTTCTATTTTTGAAAATTGATTAGTTCATCATTGAACGTAGGACATTAAAGTCCTCTACTCTTGCTACGTTAGTATGTTTATTTCCCTTTAGCTATATTAATATTTATTATACAAGAACAGGTCATGGGCTGGCGCTGTGGCACCATGGGTTAATGCCCTGGCCTGAAGTGTCAGCATCCCATATGGGTGCCAGTTTGAGACCTGTTTGCTCCACTTCCGATTCAGCTCTCTGCTGTGGCCTGGGAAAGCAGTAGAAGATGGCCCAAGTCCTTGGGCCCCTGCACCTGCGGTGGAGACCCAGAGGAGGCTCCTGGCTCCTGGCTTTGGATTGGCGCAGCTCTGGCCGTTGAGGCCAATTGAGGAGTGACCCATTGGATGGAAGACCTCTCTATCTCTCTGCCTCTCCTCTCTCTCTGTAACTCTGACTTTCAAATAAATAAATAAATCTTTAAAAAAAAAAAAAGAACAGGTCAAAAAGTTCGTGAAAAAAAATGAGATTAAAAGATTTTTTTTTACTGCAATTTTTTTTTAAGTCCATGCAGAATTTTTCTTAGTAGCCACATTTCATGGACTACTTAGATATCTGATGTTTAGATACTCCAATATCGAGTAGAGTGTATACATACTTTTTTATGTTTGTTCCTCTTGCTGAATTGATCCCTTTATCATTCTATAATAGCCTTCCATGTCTTTTTACTGCTTTTGATTTAAAATCTGTTTTATATGATTTAAGTATGTTTACTCTTGCAATCTTTTGGCTTCTCTATGCACATGATATTATTCTACTTTTTCAGTTTCAGTATGTGCATGTTCTTAGAGGAGAAATTAAGTTTCTTGTTAGCAGTATAAAGTTAGGTCTGTTTTTCATCCAGTTATTTTGTCTTTTAGAGGATCTGATCTATTTACGTTTGAAATAATTGGTAATGACTTACTTTTGCTTTTTTGACACTTGATTTCTATTTTTAAGGTTTTTTCTCTTTTACAATTTACTTTTGGGGTTCAGTTATTTCCTCCAGTAGTATGTTTTGATATCTTGTTTATTATTTTTAAGATTTTATTTATTTATTTGAGAGGTAGAGTTACAGACAGAGAGAGGGAGAGACAAAGAGAAAGGTCTTCCATCCACTGGTTCACTCTCCACGTGGACAAAACAGCTGGAGCTGGGCCAATCTGAAACTAGGAGCCAGGAGCTTCTTCTGAGTCTCCCATGCAGGTGTAGGGCCCAGGCACTTGGACCATCTTCCACTGCTTTCCCAGGCCCTAGCAGAGAGCTGGATCAGAACTGGAGCAGCCAGGACATGAAACAAGAACCCATATGGGATGCCAGTGCCACAGGCGAAAGCTTAGCCTACTACACCACAGCACCAGCCCCCTGTTTATTATTTTTATTGTGTGTATTATACATTTTGCTTTGTGATTGCCATGAGGCTTACAAAAACATCTTTTGTTTATAAAAAACTATTTGATACAAACTTAATATTGATCATGAATATGGGAAACAAACAAAGAGATGAAAATATCACTGAAACTCTACATTTTTCCCTCCTCACATTTTGAATATGATCGTAATATATCTTGATTTAACATTGAGTTAAATCTGAATGGTGACCTTTGGTCTTCCTACACTCAGTCGCATCTTTCTCTGGGTTTAGGAATTTTATATTCTCTCTTTGTGCTTTATAACCCTTTGCTTTCTCAAGTTCCTCTTGAACTACAGTAACTTGGATATTTGCTGTGTTAATGCTGTCCCAAAGTTCCCATAGGGTTTCCTCATTCCTCTTTATTTTTTTTCTCATCTCACTGTTTTTCAGTAGCCTGTCTTTTCTATTCTGTTTGATCTCTTGTACTATTGATGCCTTCTATTAAATTTTTAATTTCAGCTAGTGTAGTTTTCAGTTCAAAGATATGTTTGATTTTTAAAAATTACTTCCATCTCTCTATTATGTCTGTTGGTTAGTGTTAACTTCAGAGTGATTTTTTGGAAGCTTGCTGAGTTTCCTTTAAACAAATATTTTGAATTCTGCATCCATGAGTGTAGAGAAATCAGTTGCTAACTGTTTGGTTTCCAGCGCCTTTTTTGTTTATTAGGTGAGACCATGGTTCCCTGAAAGTTCTTGATGCTTTTTGGTGTACAACATTGTCTAAACACTGAAGGATTGAAACTTTTTTACAATTTTTGTAAGCTGGCTTTGTGATGTTCCTTCCAGATATTTGAAAACAGTCTGCTTATTTTCTGAGGCTGTGGACACTTCTGCTATTTCTGCACTAGATGGTGCTCTACATCAAAATTTGCCATGAATTAGTTGACTGTTGGTGTGTTGTTGCTATTTTAGCACCAGAGGGTGCACAAAGACCATATTTGTCCCAAATCTTCTATTGGTGTGTTTAGAATAAACTGGGGATGTATTTTTAAAAGGAGGAAGTGGGGAGGGGAACAGTACATTCTTAGAAGTCTCTATCTGGGACTGAGGATGGCCCAGATACCTCATCCACAGTCCTTGGCCAGTGGTCAGGAGCCATAGAATTCTGCATGGTTCTAGGCCTCCTGACAGAATATCAGCCCTGCTTTCCATTTTCCCTCTAAGTGTGCAGTTATTCTCACTATGTCTGCTGCCTGGGGTTGAGGGAAGAATGGTGTGGACAATCCTGTGGCCACCAATGCCACAATGCTAGACCACACCCAAAGCACACAGACTGCTGAGACAAGACCGGTGCAGCATGGAAATAGGAGCAAATCCCACATTGTTATGCACTTCCAGCTGCGGAGTTGCAGTCAGGTCTGAGACCACCACAACTAGCCATTGGTGATATTGGCTGGTATCTAAGTCTTACTTACTAGGCCCCATGGGTCTCCACTTGGCACCAAGTAGGTCCAGAGGCTACATCTGTAGCATTGGCCAGGAGACAAGGACCATTAAGATCTGCCCAGTATTAGGGTTTTAGAAGCTTGGTACTGAGTTCTAAACCACAGCCCTATGATCACTTTTGTGTCCCACTCCCCAGTAGCTGGAATTTTACCCCTGTGTGCCTAAGATTTGGGGACTGCTAGTTGAGGCAATGCCTTGGCTTCTCAGCCTGACATCAAGCTGAGTCAAGCCTGTATCTCACAGTTTCAAGGCTCTACATTGTCTCTGGGTTGTGAACCAGGCCCATACGCAGCTGGTGGTGATACATGTTGAAGTGAGTCCATTCTTCCAGGACAAACGTCTCCACCTGATGAAAATCTAGAGGCTCCATGTATAAGCACTGATGTTGTGATTTAGGATATTGTGCTGGATCTTACTGAAATAGACCTGGCACAGAACTCCAAGGCAAAGTCCTGCACTCACTTTCCTTTCCTACTCACTACAGTGGTTGGAGCCCAGAGGAAAGGTGATGGAGGCAGTACGTTGGCTGGCTGCTTCTGAAGGGTCCAGTTCAGTCTATGTGCTATGGATTGGGAACAGGTGTCATGGGGCTCTGTCTAGCACTTGGTTTTACTATAGTGGATCTGGTACTGGGTGTTCACCTGAAAAGTTTCAATTTTCCTCTTACTCCAAGTGGCACTTATTGGAGTTGCAGGAGGGTTAACACTGGTAATTTTTCTTTTCTGTCTTTTGCCAGTCTTTTCCTACTATTATACTAAAATTGACACTGTGTTCTCACCTGGCATCCTTAGTTCTTGCAAAGGTAGCTTAATGAGCACATATCTATTCAACTTGGTGTCTGTAGGCACATGATTCCTTGAGCAGCTTATTCAGCCACCATCTTGCTTCACCTCCCTTGAGCATCTTTTTAAATGTTTAAAGGTCATTTGAGCATTTTGAATAAATGTCAATTGTCTATACATTTGAAGTGCCATTTTAAGTATTTTGACCATGTTAAAAAATGGGTCATGTGTCTTTTTTTCTTGCAATTCTTTTTTACATTTTGGATACACGTTGTTTAACATGTATCTCAAATATCTTCTCCCAGTCATAGTCTTTCCTTTTCATTCTCCTAATGGTGTCATTTGAGAAACAGAATCTCTTTAAAAGGGATCTAATTCATTCATGTTTAAATATTCTGATAGTGCTCTTTGTGTTCTGTGTAATAAATGTTTGACAACTCAGTCTCTTCCAGTGTTCTTCACTAAATAATAGAGTGGGGAGATGTGAAAAGGAGTTCTTAGAATCCCTGAAGGTGGCTTAGACTTGGCAATAAAACAAGCTCCTCTAGTTCCCTTATCAGAGTCCAACCCATCCCTCCAGGATTTGCTCAAGTTTTTCTTCCTTTAAGAGATGACCACAACCTGCCTCCGACATGGCTCGTTTCAGGAAGAACCCAGATGGGTCATCCCCTCTGTTGGTAACTTCTCAGGAGGAGCACAGGCTGAACTGCACTCCTCTGCAGTCACCCCTGGAGAATGCTGGACTCAAGCACACAACGCAGAAATCACACCACACAGACAAAGAGTCATTCACCAGATATATTTGAAGTCTAAGCTCTTTGAGCTATACACGTGCACAAATGATTCAGTTAGTGGAAATCTTCCCCTTCCCCTCCATATTTAAACTTCTCAAACTTAAAATAGTGCTAAAGAGGTTTGCATAATGTGCATCATGGAAATGCTGAGGCAATTCTGACTTCCCCAGTGCTAGGAGGTTCCACTGAAAAACTTCAAGGAGTCCTCATTTCTTAGCACTCCCAGGAACTCTTCATCCTCTCCACCCCAAACCCAACCTAGTGAAGGAATTATCTGATCTGAGACATGTAGCAATAAATTTTACTAAGACTGAACCAACAGGGTCATGTGCTCCACTGAGTTTAATTTATGACTCCATGGAACAGTCACTTCAACTTCATTACATTGTTGGAAACATCAGATGTATATTTTACAACATTTAAAAATCATTTTTAAACATTTTCTCTCATCTAGATTTCTGTAGAATCTGCATTCTGAAAATTCAGGATAGCTTAAAAATTCATACGACCTGCAGGTGGCTGAGAAGAGAGTCAGCCTGCCCATGGTGCACTGTTGTATTTCTGAGAGTAGTACTTCACTAGAGGGCATTGCATCTCCACTGGTAAGCGTGTAGTCTCTTTGGCTAAGAAAACACCCAAACCCTCCATAGCAAAGGAAAAGTCAAAGCATTTGCTTATTATATACTCCTCAGATTCTATTTTTTAAAGGAGTCTTCATTGTTCTTTTGGAAACTCAGGATTTTACAAGCAATGCTCTCCTCAGTTTTGCCTGTACTGTGTCCAGTACTATATTGCTATATTCACAGTAGAACGGACTTTAATTTCTGAGTGATCAGTCTATGTGTTAAGTTCCTGATGAAACTAGCATACACCTTAGTCCAAAACCACAACCATCCTTCAATCAGTTGGCTGTGTCATTGTTCTTGTGTGTTTTTCTGAGGCTTGGGTAAAGAGAGTACTTCCCCCACTCCGTCATAATTTGTATTTGCATCTGAAGGAATTCACTAATGTACAGGAGTAGATGAGGCCTGGCACATGGAGCAGAAGGTAATGGTTCTAAAGGTGTATCTTCTGTAATGCACTTGGGGATAGAGAAATAGAAAAAATCACATACAACGAAAACAAATGGTATTTTTTAAGCACTGCATGAGCAGGACTGGCATACATTTTTCTATCATCCTTCCCTATTTTAATATTCTTGGCTGTAATACATTCTGGAGGTTTAGCTTTAACTGACACTTGCATCTTTATTTAAAAACAGTGGTCTTGATAGCAAAGATGTTGGCTAATCATTTATATATTGGCATGAGACGTTTTTGTGCCCTTTCAAAATTCAGCATTATCTGTAATAGAGTGTAATAATATCAGATTATCTGTATTAGTCTATGAATGCATTCATAAGCAATGCACATATTTTCAAGCAGCTAATGGTTGAACAATCACTAAATAAAAAACATCCAGATTTTAAAAGCACAGCTGAAACATTTGTACAAGTATACAAAGAGGAAAAAAATCATTCAGACACCATGAAACTTTTGTAATAAATAGGTTTGTCTGAAATTGATCTCTACCACTCTAGACAAGCCTCCCCCATGAGGCTGGGAAGATCCACACGGAAGTGGTAATCAAACTCTATTGAGGAATATCTTTGGGGCCAAGCTCAGTTTTGCCTCCAGGAATTTTAACAGAGCCATGAAGAATTGACTCAAAATAGTGAATCTACCCAGACTGGTTGAGCTGGGTGATGCTGATAATTTCCTAATCTAGGGTAGGACATGGCTGGATGCTGACAATCTGTGGCTTGTAGAATATCCTCAAACAATGAAAATAAATGCTGGTGATCATGCATGTCCTGGGAATGTCGGGATGCAGAGGACTGAGTGAGACCAGATAGGGAAATCTCATGCAGTCAAAGTCAAGTTTATATATGGTCCTATTTAAGTGGCCAGGAAAAAAACAATACACACTTCAGGACTGGGACTGAAACAGCTCACAAACAACACAGGTGCTATTTGTCACTGATGTCTCTGACTTGGATCAACATGAGAGAATGAAGATATAAGCTGTGCCGATTGTTTAATAAGAAAATACTACTTTTTTCCCTAGAACCTTCTAAATAATGGATTATACTTAATGGGTATGATATGATCAGGAGACATTTCACCTTTTCCTAGCCCTTTTGTCCAAGAGGCTTGATTACATGGAAGGAATCTCAAACAACCAAACACCCAGGGATTCAAAGGCAATTAATATTTTTTCAACAAACAGGGGGAGAAAGCATGATAAAGAGGAGACAGGTATTATCGTCAAGATGGAGCAATAAGCTCAGTTGGACACAGAGGGTGGCAGGCCAGGACGCCGGGTTTGGATGATTTTTGGCTTTGGGGAAGTCTTTGGATCCTCTTCTTCCTCTATGTCACTGTCACACACATGCACGACGACACTTGGGGTGGACTCAGTCCCTGCATGGAGCTCATACTTCTCTCCTGAAAAACAGGAAAAATGGGAATGAGGAACAGGGAAGGATTTCAAGACAGATTCTTTGGGTGAGTTTTCTGGGGAGGTGAGAAGAACATCACAGTATCTTTGGGAACCTGTGATCTTATGCATGGTCAGCATGGTCAGTAATAGGAAAATGAAATAAGAGCAATCTGCCATGGATCCAAGCTCTATTACCTACTGACTGCACAATCCTGAACATGTCACAGAGTCCTTTTAGCCTCAGCATCTCCAACTGTCAACTTCTGAATGGTACCTCTACTCCATAGTTCTGTGACAGGGACTAAATGGGTCTGGAAGTCTAGACTTGTTAGTTTATCCTCTATTTCCCAGCCTTGCAACTAATTGTTGAGTCACCTGGAGGCAACCACTTCATGATTTTCACATTTTGGATAAGGTATTCTGAGTTTCCCTCCAGCTGACCACCACTTATATCTGAACTGCCCCAGGTTAGACTGAGGCAGGATCATCGTTTGCCCAAGTCTTGCAGTGGCTACAGGGTAACTGGGTTAGAAATATTGGCAATGCCCTTTCCAGTCCCAAGAGTCAACCATACAAGACTTGCCCATTATACAGTCAAATCGCTAGTCAGCCAACCAGCTTCCTCTCTGTGTTTGTTTCACTTCAGTGGGTGTTGATTAAGCATCTCCATGGTCTTGCCCATTTCTGGCCACAAAAGCTGCAAAGCATAACAGAAGGTATCTGTGTGCTTCATGGGAGCACAGCCCAGTGGTGGCACATAGAAGCAGAAAGTGGCACAACATACATGGTGGGCATTAGGGTGGCAAAGCATGCTAAGGACAATGGCACCATAGTATAGGGAACAAATATTTCTGAAAGGATTCTCAGTGGAGGTGACAGTTGACCTGGGTCTTAAAGATAAGCAGAAGACCTCTGGGTGTTGGAGCAAGAAGAAGAGACATTCCTAGTATGCAGGCTTGTAAGTGTTCAACCTTACGATTGACACACTCATCTAAACCTTCCAACATCCCATTCTTCACTTTATGTCCTTCATCAGTCAGCAGAAAAATTTCTAGAAGCAACATCTCCCAGATATCTTCTAAATTTCTTACACTAGAACAGAAAACTCTGCATAACCTCTCATCAATCTTTTTTTTTTCTTCTATTTTTGACAGGCAGAGTGGACAGTGAGAGAGAGAGACAGAGAGAAAGGTCTTCCTTTGCCGTTGGTTCACCCTCCAATGGCTGCCGCGGCTGGTGCACTGCGGCCGGCGCACCGCACTGCCGATGGCAGGAGCCAGGTACTTATCCTGGTCTCCCATGGGGTGCAGGGCCCAAGGACTTGGGCCATCCTCCACTGCACTCCCTGGCCACAGCAGGGAGCTGGCCTGGAAGAGGAGCAACTGGGACAGAATCCGGCACCTCGACCGGGACTAGAACCCGGTGTGCCGGCGCCGCAAGGTGGAGGATTAGCCTAGTGAGCCGCGGCGCCGGCCTCATTAATCTTTTCTAACATTACCTTTGTGGACTCCCATTTTGCATTGGTCAGACTGGTTTACCTTTTGATCTCTAGTCATGATAGCTATATTCTTATACCCACCAAACTAGCTACTTTTACTTGGCATAATCTTGCCACCCATGGAGAGTTCTCTCAGTCCTGCCTTATTTCTGGGATCAAGTTCAGCCAACAGCACCAAGTAATGGAATCTTGCTTGCTGTGCTGAGTCTTTTGTGGAGACTGGATAGCTAGAACTGGTATGGCCATATCAGTACTATTTTGTATAGTACCCAAACTGGGGTACTACTTATGTGCTACTGGCCACAGTGAGGTAAGCATCAGTGGTGACAACAGCAAACTGCCACAAGGCACAGTTTTAAATTCTAAGAATAAAGAGCACTGATTATGCAACATGATCCAAGTTCTTCTACGTGTGGCAGGGAAGGATACAGACATGTGGAGTCAGCCATTGTTGTGTTTGGGTTGAATTCAATCCCCCTAAAGGATGTTGAAGTCCTAACCTCCTCTACCTGTGAACATGACAATATCTGGAAATAGGGTCTTTGCAGATGATCAGGTTCAGATGAGGTCATTAGGATAGGGTCTATTTCAATATTATTGGTGCTCATATAAAAGGGGAGAGGGAGATTTGGACACAGATGTCCACTCAGGGTGGAAAATACCCTGTGAAGATTAGAGTTACACTTCTAAAAAACCAAGGCTCCCAAAAGCAAGGAGACAGGCCTGAGACAGATCTTTCCCTGGCACCTTCAGAAAGATCATGGCCCCATGTACACCTTGACCTTGGCCTTCTCTCTAGAACTTGGAATCAAATTTTTGTTGTAAAAGCAACTCTGTGGTACTTTGTTGGGGCAGCCACACCCTGCTAAGAATACTCTCTGTTAAGAGTCAGAACAGTCTCTGTTAGATGCCCCTACCCCTGTCATCCTGCTGTGTAGAGTACAGACTTTCCTGGTAAGGACAGCAAATATCTCCTAAGGATGGCGTGTTGTTGCAAGTTCACCATTTCTCTGGGTATCATCAGCAGTAAAAAGGGCTAGAACCAGCCAGACCATTGACGTATGCCTTATTAAGACGCCATGATGTAATGTCTAGATTTGGTGAGTAGCAGGCAGGTAGAAATGTATCAACAAGTATTAAATCTGACACAAGCAAGCTGAACTGCATATTCGAATACAGCCAGGGTGGAGGACGTCTGGCCTGCAGGCCATATAAGGTCCATTAACTCATTTAGTTTTCCCCTACCAAAGCAACTGCAGGTGGATTTAAAATTCAAGAAAACTACAGCGGGGTAATTTTGAGGTTGGTAATTTTGTATAACCCAAGAATGATGTTCTACATCTCCAAATGGCCCTTGGCAGAAAAAAGGTTCTTCACCCCTGGCAGGAAAGGACAGTGACAGAGCAGGAGACCCAGGGCAGAGTCAGGAAAGAGATGTTTTGCCAGAGCCATTCATGCTATACCCTGCTGTCCTGCCCTGGGGGCAGGTACTGAGAGTTGGCACTAATTTAACCATACCATAATACACATAAAGTTATTACAGACAGTTCCTGACTTATGATGAGTAAACTTACAATTATTTTTTGCCTCATGATGATATGAAAGTGAAGCCATACTTTGGATTTGGATCTTTTCCTAGGCTATCAATATGCAGTATGATCCTCTCTTCTGATGCTTTCTGCAGTAGCAGTGAACCGCAGCTCCAATCAGTCCTGTGATCATGAGGGGAAATGACCGATACTCAACTGTACCACGTTGCTAAGCTGGGATGCTTGGTAGGTTAAACTAACTGCAGTTTTGACTTAATGATATTTTCAACTTACGATAGGTTTTTTTGGATGTGGCTTTGTTGCATGTCAAGGGGCATCTATACACAACACAGATGTGTAGTTAATGGTGTACATATTGATGCTGCAAAAAGTTCACTTAACTGTGTGGGTTCCATTCTCCCTAACTTAGTCATTTTTTATCCGAAGTTCCAAGGTAAAAGAATAAATCAGATATTTCTAGGGATGAGAACCTACATGAAACTCATCTGAATGTTACATAGAATAGCTCTGGGCCAGGGGTAGGCAGATCTGGTTGCTAGCATCTCTGAGCAGTGGTTCTCAGACACCTGCCAATGTCTTGGAGATACTTGTTAAAAAGAGAGCTCAGCAGCATGGAGATGCTATCCTGCAGGTTCTGACTTGGTGGAGTTTACATTTGTCCCCAGCATCCCAGGTGCTTCTTGGCGTCCCTGTGTCTGGGTGGCCAGCTATATTGTTTTGTGTGACAACAGGAGGCCTTTCCTCTCTTCCACTCTGCACCACAGTTTTTCACTAGAAAATGGGAATGGGGCAGGAAGAGGGTTGTAAAGGGAGGCAAGGAATTGCACAGCAGTTCTGTGCACTCCCAGGCACCAGCATTCGTTCATCTTTGTTTCAAGGAGAACAGCAAGTCACTCAAAGTCCCACAGCAAACAATGATTGCATCCATCACACCCAGGGTTTCTGGAATGTTGTCTTGTTTCAGAAACCATTAGCAATTATGAATGAAAGCCACCTTCAGAGAATCAGTGACTTTTGAGGAATCAAATGAGATGGCTGCTCATGTTTTTGTGCATAGGGTTTTTTCAAGTTCTGCCCTTTGGAAAAGCAACCAACTCCAGTAGGGCAGCAGTCCCATTCACTGCTCTGCTGACTGCGAGTGCAGGGATGCAGGGGGCCTTCTGTCACTCTCCTCTGGGAAGAATGTGAGCAGGCAGATGGCCAGAGCCAGGATGGAGGTGGTGGCAACAGCAGAGACCCAGGCCAGAGCATTGACCCAACACCCTGCCCCTTCCTCATCTGCTGGCATAGAAGATAGCCTTTTCAAAATTGTGTAAAATACAGCTGAGGTAATTAAGAGAGTACCTGAAATGTAATGTATCAGAGTGAAGTAGACATTTTGAGATTTGATGATTGTTTATAGTCCTTGTCTCTTCCATTGAGGAACAGTGTTTTTTTTTTCTGCTTCTCTTCATACTCTTTGTTGAACTCTTTTACTTAGAGCAGGGTTAACACTACAATCATTAAGTATACTGAAAATAGATCTTTGTAAAAATTACAGTGGGAATGCAAGAAGGAAGGGGAGGAAGTGTTGGAGCATGGGCAGAAGAAAGGGTGGGGGGAAGTGCCACTATGTTCCTAAATCTGTATATATGAAATGTATGAAACTTGAATAACTTAAATAAAATTTAAAGACTACACCTAGCAAAGCTAGCCTTTTAATCAGAACTTTTGGATTGGATGAAGAACATTCAACTAAAGATACCTCCTATTGTGATGTGTTTACCACTTCAGAAGTGGCTGCTGACCTCCCAGAATGGATGTACTGGGTGTTACCTTGGGATGGGAGGGGCTGGCAAAGGTGTGTACCTTATGTGCAGGGTACAAAGCAAGGCTCACATCAAGTTAATAAAGGCACTGTGCCTGGTAGTATTTTATTGTTGTGATCCCATTAACTCTGACATTTCACTGTTCTATT